TTGCCAAAATGGCCCCTGATACTACAGATCCCCAGTAGGACAGATGCTGCAGTGGAATTCTCCAGCTCCGGCCTCCCATGTGGAAGGAGTCACTGTGGTAAAGCCCCACACTGTATTTGCAGCTTACCATACTGAGGGCTGTTCTTGGGGTTAGTGTTGCCAGTCCATTGTTTCTCCCTGGGGCTGCCCACCCTCTGTGGACCCTGACCTTGTGTTTCTGGGAACAGGACCTCTCTAGAAGCCAGGGTGAGTTTTCCAGCCTGCTTCGTTCTTTCCTGTGTTGTCTTCAGTTTCTCTGCATAGTTACTGGTTTTCTTGTCAGCTTTTTCTTGGTTCCTGGAGCTCTACTGTTTTTCAAATAATTGTTCTTTTTTTTTTTTTTTAGATTATTGGTACATTTTAGGTATACAGTACAGTTACATTCATTATTGGGATCTTGTACCTTTACATGACAGGTCTTGTTTCTCATTTTTTCCCCTTATCCCTGCTTCCCTTTGCCCCCTCTTCTCCTCCCCATTTACACTTTATTTCCATTTTTTCATTTTCTCTTTTCCCTTATTACCTTTCCCCTACCCTTCCCACTTTAGCCCTTTTCTTCCTATTTCACATTGTCAATTATTTCATTAGGATCTTATGTACTATTATAGTTTTTCACACAACTAATTGTCTCCATTTCAGGTCTTGGAGAGAATGTATTTTGCTGCCCGTCTTTGCCATTTTGAATCTCTTGTCTTGATTTCTTTCCTCCATTTTCTTCAGTGTTTGGGTGACTCCCTGTTTAAATTAGATTCTTAAACTAATAAGAAGTTGTGCTTTATACTTTACCCCACTGTATGCACCTAACTGTCCTATGAGCTAAGCATTGTTACTTCCAACTGTACAGGGAGGAGGTGAGACCAGGGGTGGAGTTGCACAACCACACCACCATGAGCAGCAGAGCTGGGGCTCAAACCCAGGCTGGTGGGCACCAGCTCTGAGCCTTGTGTCCCTCTGCTGTCCTGCTTTGGGATCAGCCCTCTTCCTCATGCAGATCCGCAATATTGCTGATGAGGATCACAGATCGAAGCCCTCCAGCCCCTTCCCGTCCCTTGCATTGCAAGGACTCCTTCCTCTCTGCTGTGTCACGTGTCTTAATAAGGAGATGAGAACAAAACGGGCGTTGAGAAGCATGCATTCTGTCTTTGCCTGGCGTTGGGCAAGCGGTAGCCCCCTCCCCCATCTTATTTGGGGCAGAATCCAAGCAGCCGTTGCAGTCCTTTGTCATGTCTCGTCTCGGCTCTTCTGGCCGGGCCTTCCTGGTGCTCTGACAGCTCACGCCACTCTTTTGTCTCGTCCCTTTGAGCAGATAATTGGACTCCATTGATGTTTCTTGTTTCCTTTGGCCATCAGGATGCTCAAGGCTCAATAGCGGGCTTTATCCCTGCTGCTCCCTCCATCCTCCCGGTGGGCTTGCTTTTCATCTGCTTGCTCCCTCTGTCATTTCCCTGTGGCATCCATCTGTCTGTCTGTCCGTCCATCCATCCGTCTGTTCATTCGCTAAATAAGCATCTGTCACTTGTAGAGCATCGTGCCTGTGATTACATTCCGTGTGGCCAATTGCTGTGAGCAAGTATAAATTCTTCTTAAATGTGGTGGGGTTCAATTTAGAAATAAGTAATTCTTCAGCTACATATCAGTGATGGAAAGAATCTTTAACTTTCCCTTGGTAGGAAACAATGGGTCTCTTCTCCCCTAATGTGTGAAATTATTATCATTTTTCCACTGTATTATACTGTACCTAAACTAACCTTCAGGCAAGAACTGCAGTGAGCAAGTGTGAATCAGTGCCTAAAATCCCAGTAAATAAGACATGTCGGGAAGTGTGGCTTTTCTAGATAATCTCAAACTGTGTCCTCAGTGTGAGACCTGAGTGTGGAACCTTTCTGGGTTGGCTGGAGAGCCCCTTGCTACTTGCAAGCACAGGGAGCCCAGGGCTGGCCAGGGCTGTGGTGCCTGTGTGCAGGGAGCCTTGCCCTGACAGACCCACGTGTTGGGGTTGATCCTGGTCTGGGGCCCAGGGCCTGCGCCATGGAGGGAGGTCACCAGCTCCACTCGACCCTGCAATCCCTTCTCACCCAGCCCTTTGATAACAGTCCCAGGGGAAGGAAGTCAGCACCCAGGTCCTCGGCCCTCCTGTCTTCATGTATGTGAATGTCCAGGAGCCAAAAATACCTTTATGTCAGGCAGAGCAGCGCACACCTATAATGTGAGCTTCTGGAGGCTGAGGCAGGAGAGTCGGGAGTTTGTGGCCTGCCTAAGCTGAGTCTTCATCTTCGGCCACCCTGCTTCCTCTCAGTGGCCCCTTGTGGCTTTGTACCTCCCTCCCTGACGCCCATGCATGACTTTTCTTTCTAACTTACCACATACATATCTGCCTTTACAACTTGTTTCTAGGTTGCTTGAGTCCAGGTATTGTGCTTTTATTTTGAAATCTTTGTTTTGTAAGATGGCAAGGGCCTTGGGTTTGCTGCTAAGCCTGAGTAGGACTCACAGCTCCGTGACACTGTGTGAGCTGCAGGGCCTGGCTTCCCAGTCCGTGGGGTGGTATGCCAGCTTTGAGTGCACGGCTGTGCCGGAAGACTGGTACATGCAACCCAGGAACACTGGCATCTGGCCACAGTCCACACAGCTCCTCCCCCGCCAGTGTCCCTGTGCAAACCCCTCTCTAACCGGCATGCCTGGTGAGGGGCAGGTAGGGCCAGCGTACCAGGGACAGTAGTACTAAACCCTGCTTTGCTGCACACTGCTGTGCCCTTGGGATGGACATGCGCTCTTCCTTTTTGGAATTCAACAGTTTGGCATTTATGCACCTGGTGGTCTCACCCGGGGGCACCAGGACTGGAGATCCATTGGGCTCCAGGGAGCTCAGCTGCTTTGCCCGGCTGCCGGGAGAGCCCACAGCTATGGATGGAGGCTAGCGAGGCCCTGCTTGTCCTGCAGTATTTATCAAGTGCCTGCTGTTTGCCAGACATGTCGTTAGGCAGTGGATGAGGGTGAAAGAACCTACATGTTCAGGCTTCTAAGAAGCAACATGTTCAGTGACACGGGAGATCAGTAAATAGAAAATCTAACTTCGAGTTGGGTGAGGACAAAACTGAATACAGTATGAACATGTGAGAAGAAGGCAGGGTGTCCACCTTGGACTCAGGGGCTTCTCTACTCCACATCTCGGAGGCTGAAGACTGTACCTCAGTTTCTTTACCTGAAATCTGGAAAATTCCTGCTGGGCTGCTGTAGTAGGAAGATGAGAAATGGCTTGGGAAGTAGCCTGAGCTGTGAGATGCAGCTAACATAGGATGTGGCAGCCTCGGGGCTGAAAAATGATAGCTCTGTAAGTCAGCGTCATTAATAACTGAGTCATTACATGGAGAAAAACCATGCCACGCGTATTTCCCTCTGAGTACACCCTGCACCGTCTGCCCCAAGCCGACTGACTGCACAGGAACCCAACTCTGAGGACGGGAGTCAGAGATGCCACTCACGATGTGTGGATTTCTCCTTATTGAAATACCATCAGCATGAGCATGACAGGCATTCAGCTAGGAATGGCCTTAGTCACTTTGGGCTACTGTAACAAAATGCTACAGGTGCACAGCAGCATTAACCTGTCACACCTGGGGCTGATGTCCTAGAACAGGGCCCCCAGGGGCGTTGCTGGGTGGAGATCTGCTTCCTCAGAGACACCTGCTGGGCTTTCACCAGGTGGCAGGGCCAAAAGCACCCAGGGGTCCCTCATACAGGGCTCTAATGTCCATCCTCTCTGAGTTCCCCCACGCTCCGCTTTTACATTTCCTCTGGAAGTGAGATTTCCACATGATTTTCAGGGTCACTAACATCAGACAACAGCGGGAACTATTTATTCCCTGAGCCAGCTCCATAGATGGTACAGACCCGTCCTTCCAGGAACCTGTTCTCACACATGCAGGCCCACAGGGCTGGCTAGCAGGCAGGTGGGGAGGGGACAGCGCTAAACTCCCGCGCATCCTGACCTGGCCACACTGCTCTCCCATCTGCTCCTTCATCCCAGGCCCTGGGCCTTTTCCTGGATCATCAGCTGGGGAGTGCAGGGTGATTGCCTCCAGGTGCCTTGGAATTTGGGCTCTTCTGAGAGCTTCCAGTGCTCTCCATGACGGCTTCCCATAAACAGAGTTCTCCTATTAAATCTCCGCTCTCTGCCAGGTGGTGAGCATGACTATTCTAGGAGAATCGCGCATAGCCTGGGAGCTTCATTCACTCTGCTCAGGGCCGCACAACGAAGCTCCTTTCCTTACTCTTCTCACTTCCTGAGTCCTAGGATCCTCCCTGCAGCTTCGGGTGGTCCCTTTCCCTTGGGAATCCAGTCTTTCACTCCTACAGGATTCAGCCTCCCCCACCCTCTCTGTTCCTTGTTACCCGACTGACCAGGAGTAACTTTTAACTCTTTTCATAGAAGGAGTTTTTTTTTTCAAACACAGTGAAATAAATTTCATACTCTTCCTTGCTCCATTCTATTTAGTATTGTGATCTTTTTCCAGCGCTTAAGGCTTTATTCCATCTAGCTGACAGGAATTATTTTACATTTACATATAAATATTTCAGTGAAATAAATCAGACATGTTAAGTATCACACGGTTTCTCTTGTATGAGTAACCCAACATATAAATAATTTAAAGAGAAGAAAAAACATGACAGAAAACAGGGAAATAGACAATCTAGATTAGAAGAGGATTTGGGGGAGTTGGGAGAGTGGGACGGGAAGTAAAAAGCAATATCAGTGTGCAGTGTGCCAGTTTCCGACAAGCATGCACTTACTATGTTTCACGAACATACACCAATAAAACAGTTGTTAAATGTACACACGTATGGGGTACCATGTAATGTTTTCATACAAGCATACGTTGTGTAATGTTTGTCATTTCATTGTGGTGTGAACCTTTAAAAATACGGTGTGCTTTATGAATTTGCATGTCATCTTTGCCCAGGGGCCCTGCCTGGTGATCTTTTCTGCATCGGTCCGATTTTACTCCGTGTGCTGGCGAGGTGAGTGGGCAGGAAGTCTTTTCTGTTTCCTTAACATCTCTCTCCTGACACCTGAATGACACCAGATATGTAGTCTGTGCTCAGTAAATATTTGCTGGATGGATGGAGAAAAATATTGGTTAAATGGATAGATTTTAAACGTATAGAGTTTAAGCACATGGAATCTTAAGAGTGGTGATGCTGAATGTGATGATAAAGATTCCAGGGCATCTCATTTCCCTTTAAAACACGGACTTTTTGAGAGCCCAGTGCCAGAGTGTGGCAGACTTTTGGACCCTAGCCTGAATTTGCCTTTTTCAATGCCAGTATTCTTGGAATCACATTTTTAGTTTTGATGGAAAGTGAGAACCTTCCAGAATGACAAGTTACTTATTTAGTTTTTTGTACCCAGCCTCCTGCCTGATTTATGGTGTAATCGAAGAATTAGGAGTTGAAATCAGAAGGTAGAAAAGAAGCAGGTTGAATTGCTCAAGAAGACTCAAGATAGATTGTCTTTCATTCAGCCTCATGGAATGATATTTTTCAGTTTAGGTTTCTCTCTTCCCTTCACCCCCAGCATCTTCTAAAATTACAAGTAGAAAATGGTGTCACTGCATCTGTGCCTTTAAAATGTAATTTGTATTACAGGTCCTGGTTTCCTTCACAGGCAGGCTCAGCCTTTGTGGTAGTGGAAAATTCTCTCCTGTAGACTGTGGTGCAGGGTCCCCACAGACTTAGGGACCAGCAGAGACTGAAGTCATTCCCAGTGTTCCTCACAACAGTGGGGCAGGACGAGATTGAGAGTGGATGCTTTGCACACCTTACCAGCCACACGCTGAACATTGGATACCTGGTCTTACGAAGTCACGGAATAAAAGGAATTACATTATTTTTTAATAGAATTATTTAATAGCTCCCTAAAACATAGATTAAGAAAGAAAACTTACTGAGATCAGAGTGATGAATCATTATTTGTTGCTTTTCTTTTTCTTTTCTGGTGGTATTACAGAGGTACGGGTATCTAGCCACTGGACTATCTGCATTTGATTCTGAAATCTGCCTTAGACTTTAGCCTGCACCCCTGGCCACCCCTGGGGAAGTAGGTGTTAGCTGTCTGTAATAATAGTTCGACTTTGTACACTTACAGAAATTCTACTCCTTGACCCTCCACGGGCAGTAGAGCTTTACACAAAAAGGATACAGACTTGTATTACAAATTCTTACTTTTGTTAAGGAGAGGAATTTGTGTTCCTGAAACTTAGCCAAGAGATTGAGCCACCTTGTCCTGGATCTTGAAGAAGCATCACCCGGAGGACCCCTGTGAGCCAGACCGGCGTCACACTGAGCCTCGTCAGCCCTGGAGTTTGCCGAGTCTTACTTTGCCTCCCACCAGGTCCTTCCCCACAGCAGAGGTCAAATACCTCTTCTGTAGAAGTTCCTCTTGTTGTTGTTCCACAGCTAAGCCCAGAGTCGCCACTGTTCACCCAAGGCACATTGCAGCCCGACTTGTGTGATTCAAGCCCTGCTCTTGCTGCTGTGAGTTCCATCCATGGCTGGCTTTTCTCAGTTCTGGTCATGGAGGAAGCCAAGTTTCAGAGGCCGAGGTGAGAAGGAAACTGGTGAGAAGGTAGCCCCATGCTGGCAATGAGGTTGCTCTGAGGGGCACCCCCTGTAGGGTTGGGGTGAGCAGACTTGTGCTCATGGGAGACCTTCTGTCCAACAGAAGGGGCAACCATGGGGCCTTTGTGGGCATTATAGTTTAGATCTTCATTGTCCCTCCAGAGTCTCCTGTGTGTGGAAAGTGACTGGATAATGGGCACCATACTCATCTGTGGATTCATCGTGGATGAGTTCCTAGCTCATTGTGCTGTTAGGAGGTGGGCCCTGGTTGGAGGCGGTCACTGGGCCCTGACCTGGAAGGGTGCATTCTTGTCCCCGGGTCCTCCCTTCTCTCTCTGCTTCCTGGGCACCGTGGTGTGAGCAACTCTCCTCCACCAGGCCCTTCCAGCATGCCTTTCTATCCTGGAGCCAGCCCACCATTGGCTGGAACCACTGCAAGCAGAGAGAGGTGAAAAAAATACACCTCTCCTCCTTTATGCTGTAGGTGTATTGTATCCCAGTGACAGGAAGTGACAAAAAAGTTGGTGATCATGTAGTGAACGGTGAAGGCAGCATCCAGTGAGCAGGCTCCTGTCCATGGGGTCTGAGCCAGTGTCACTGGATTCCACTGAGGCAGGTGAAGGCAGAGATTCCTAAAGCACCAAGTGGGTTAGCAAGACTATGACTATAACTGATCATGCTTGAAGATATTAACAAATCCAATTTTAAACCATTTTATTTCTTAAAAACACTTTAATTGTGGTAAAACACTCAACATAAAACTTAGCATCTTAAACCTTTCTAAAAGTCACACAGTTCAGTGGCACTAAGAGAGTCACATGTTTTGCAGCCATCCCCAGCATGCATCCGAAGAGCTCTGTCACCTTCCTTTCTGAAACTCTCCACACCGAAGGCCAGCTCTCAGCTGCACCCTCCCTCTGGCCACACCCGGTCCACTTCCTGCCTCTGCAGTGTGATGCTAGGGACCTAATGTTGTATTTGTGTTTTTACTTGCAGTTGTGATGAGGCAGTTTGCTTTTATATTGAATCTCTTAGAGGAGAGTACTCTAACAGTGCAGTGTTCGATTTTCTTACTCTGCATATGGAAGAATAAAAGCAGTTCACCAGAATGCACTGAGCAGAGAAGATATGTGGGTGTGGTTGTGCAGAGGCATTTCTGCACAACGTTAAGTTACCTTTGCAGGAGGCTGTAATTGGCTAGACGTCAGGGGGAGCAGCTTGGCCTTCAGTCTTCCACGTCTGCACTCATAGGAACTTCACACCTGTCTGACTTTCGCACTGCCTGTTTTTTTATTTTCACACCACTCTTCATCCATGGCACACAGCCTGGCTCATGCCCTTCACTGTGGTACAGTGTGTGTTTTTTCTGTGGAAGTCACTAGGAAAGGGCGGAGGGAGGAGGACCCAGGGAAAGCGCCGCCCAGCACCGGGATCCTGGAAGCATCCAGAGATTTGACCTGTGTTGCCTTTAATCCTAATTAACACAAAGGAGACGCTAGATGGTGCTGTGAACTAGGAAGTTTGTGGTCCTCCACCAGAAAGCAAGGGCTCCCTCTGTCTCTGTTCCTCCTCTTCACCTTTTCCTGGTCTGCATACCCTGCTTGGTTCCTCTGGTCTCTAAGCCACTTGCAAATCTGTGTCAGAAAGAAACCAGGCTCCCATGCTAATGATGGTGAGACAGGAGAGATGTGAATTTGAGATCCCATGAGCTCCTGGATATTTGGGGCCGAGTCCATGCCCAGCTTTGTCCTGGGCTATTTAAAGAAAGAAAATAACTATTAATAACTTGATGGACAGCTGTGTTGTCTGACCTATATTTGGGCAGTAAATACATTCTTACAGATCTGTGCCACATGAGGTTTTAATATAAAACCATTTCCCATTTCCCTTTGGGTATCCCCTCCAGAGGGGAAGTTTGGGGAAGATGTTTTTGCACAAGGTCAGCATGGAGTAGACACTTAGTGTAAACACACACTTCCAGGGACACTTGTGTTCCTTGGCAAAAAAGCTTTCCACAAGTGGGTGATTACTGATCCTCCTGGATTCCTAGGACTGGAAAAGAATTTAGCAGCTGGTCACATGTGGGGAAACACAGGGTCCTCACTGAGATGGACTGGCTGGTGGGACAGAGCTGAGTGTGATTCCAGGAACAGCCTGCTCTAGCAACTGAACGAAGACACTTGGTGTAGCATAGGAAGCATCTTAACTAGAGTCAGCCCCTACAAAGTCTCGTGTGGGCTTTTGATTTTTGGTCTACATTAGAATTTAAGAAAGCTTAAGAACAGTGTGATAACCATAGTGACTCTATCATCAAAATAGTTAAAGTGCTAATTATCCCCATGGTACATACCAAAGCTGACTCTCTCGGAGGGCATTTTTAGACCCTTAAAAAGTTTTACTTTTGCTCTAATGGCTGTGGAAGGTTTGAATTGAGGCACCCAGATATGCTGGCTGGATTTGCATCCTGAAAATTATAACCTGCTCCGTGACTGTAAGCAGAGTAACTGGCTTTGTTTGAAAGACACCTGATGAAATGCACTGGAAGGAAAGGAGCTGTCAGCACAGCCCCACTGAGGGGCGTTAAGGCACCGTGGGGACTGTGTCACTTCTCCCTCTTGGTGGCCACTCGCCTTACTCTGCATTGTTATCAGTATTGCTTTGCATTGAGCTGGGTGTGTAGTGCATGTCTGTAGTCCCAGAACTGTGAGGCTGAGGCAAGAGGATAGCAAGTTCAAGCCCAGCTTGAGCTACTTAGTGAGACTCTTGTCTCACAAAAAGGAGAGTGGAGGCCTGAGAATGTAGCTCAGTGTGGAGGCCCTGGGTTTAATCCCAGTACCAGCAGAGGACGACCCAGAAATGTCCTGCTTCCCTGAACTGGAACGAGCAGAAACCAGAGACATTGGGGGTTTCCACCCCTGGGGTACAGCAGAGGGCTGTGGGGTATAAGAGAGGGCTGGCTGAAACACCCAGGAGAAGTACCTGCCAGTGAGAACCAGCTGGGGAATCGGGTCGTGTTATTTTCTCAGGGAGACATGGGCCAGAGCCTCACTTCCTAAGGCAGGACAGGGGTGGAACAGGTCTCGAGTTCCGCCGGCTGCACCCTCAGCACCCCCTCCTCCACGCAGCAGCATCCCGGGCACTGCTGGCACCCTGCATTCCCAGGACTGGCTCCGTGGCCCTGGCGGGCTCGGTCCTTCACTGGGATTGGTGCTGCTGCGGTCACGTGGGGAGAGTGGCACCCTGGGTATTTACAGAGCTGAGTTTAAGCTGCCCTGAACAGAGCGGCTGATGGGGGTGAGCGTGAGTCCTGGCCTTGGCAGAGCCCAGCTGGGGGTGCTGCGCCGACCGTGCTTTTGCTTTCCCTCAGTGCCAGCACTGCAGAAGGGTCTGATTGGCCTGCTTCCGGTTCCCACAGCAGAGTGGGGACAGTCCCCGCCAGGGTGTGGCCCGCCCAGCTGGCAGTGGGGAGGAGGCAAGGAGGTGGGGCCTGCGGCCTCTCCTGGGACAGCGGATGCACCCAAGTTGACTTGGCACGCAGTGGCTTTGGCAGCTCTGCCATGCTGTGATGTTCCGGAAGTGCTGTCGGTCTGGGGACTCAGTACACGCTGGCCACTAACACCCTCTCCACTCTCGCCCTGTCCCCTGCAGAGGATGACCTGGACCTCGAGGCACTGGTGAACGACATGAACGTGTCCCTGGAGGGCCTGTACACGGCCTGCAGCATGCACTCGGACACTGTGCCTCTCCTGCAGAATGGCCAGCAAGCCCGCGGCCAGCCTCCTGCCCCTGCCCCCA